TTGCAGCTCTCTGACTACTCTACAATTTTAGTCAAACCAAAATGATTACTTATGCTTAGAAGTTAGAATCTGATACATTTGTAACACAATCTCTGAAACAAATGACATCTGTATGACAAAAATTGAAGGTTACTTACTTTACATCACATTAAATAAATTCTTAATTAGACAATTTACAGTATCTTATTAATAGGCTTCTCTTTAACCTACTTATGGAATATTAAAATGAGGTAAAAGAGGAAGTGATATTTCCAAGGCAGTGAGACATAAACACTGCAGGTTACTATCTCTCCATCTGCATCTTGCAGTGCTTTCTCTCTTTGTTTTCTGACTTACATAATTTTATATCACATAAAGCAACAATTTTTATACCTATCAAATATTATATTTACTCTAATTTTGTTTATCCTATCAACTGTCTTGTCTCATAGTCTAAACACTTTTCTTTAGCTCTCTCTAACAAAGAGTGAAAAAAGTTTTTTTATTTTTATTTGTGTGTATTTACATGAGAAGCCAAACAAATAAGACTTTTGTTGTGGTTGTCTTTGCTTATTAAGCCAGACTCTCTAAAAACAAAAGAAGTGAGGGTAAAAAACTATCCCAAAAGCAACCAACACATTTCTCTGTCTCTCTTTCTCTCTCTCTCTCACTCACTCTCTCTTTGTTCCATGGACTTGCAACTGAAACAATGGAGAAGTCAGCAGCAGAATGAGTCAGAAGATCAAGGCTCTGCTGCAACTAAGATATCAAACTTTTTCTTTGATCAGATTCAGTCCCAAACTGCAACTTCTGCTGCTGCGGCTCCTCTTCCTCTCTTTGTCCCTGAACCCACTTCTTCCTCTTCTTTCTCATGCTTCTCTCCTGACTCTTCTAACTCTTCTTCTTCCAGGTTCCTCAGTAAGTTGTTTTAAATGGACAAGACTTTTTCACTCTAATGTTGAAGTTGTTATTGCTGATATTTAATCTGACGTTTCTATGTTACATATGTAGAGATGGGAAACTTTTTCAGCTGGGCACAGTGGCAAGAACTTGAGCTACAAGCACTGATCTATAGATACATGTTGGCTGGTGCTTCTGTTCCTCAAGAGCTTCTCTTACCTATCAAGAAAAGTCTCATCCATCAATCTCCTATGCATTTCCTGCACCATCCTCTTCAACATAGTTTTCCTCTTCACCAACCTTCTTGTCAGTCTCTCTCTCCTCTCTCTCTTGTTTATGCTTCTCATATCTTTGAAAGATTCTTTTCTTCAAAGAAAGATTCCTTTTGTTTTGATATTGGAGTAATGTTTCCAAGATCTAGAAATTTTACACCAAAAAAGAAAGAAAGTATAAGGCTGCTCTGCAATCTTCTAAGGAGTTAAACTCTATGTGTATAAGCCTATCTCTAGAAGATCTATTAGCAACATAGAATCAGACAAGTACATTCTTAATCAATGTCTTGAGTGAGATTTATGTTTGTTGTTACTAATGAATACATACTTAAACAAAAAACAGGGTATTGGGGAAGAGGAGCAATGGATCCTGAGCCAGGGAGGTGCAAGAGAACAGACGGCAAGAAATGGAGATGTTCAAGGGATGTTGTAGCTGGCCACAAGTATTGTGACCGCCACATCCACCGTGGAAGAAACCGTTCAAGAAAGCCTGTGGAAACCGCCACAACCACCACCACAACAACAGCCACAACAACCGCATCTTCTTTTGTCTTAGGAGAGGAGCTTGGTCATGGACCAAACAACACCTCTGGTTCATCTCAACATCTCCACCTTAGTCATCAACAAAGGTACATAATATATACAAAAACACTCTGTTTAATTGAAGTCATTATTAGCTTTGGTTAAAGGATTTTAAAACATAGTTTTGAATGATTAAAATGTTGTTGTTAGGGAATAGTTATTTCACTGTGAAGTAATGCTGTGAAGAAAGGGGTAATGTTGGCAATAGGGTGACAACAGAGACTTATCATACTTTGTGATAAAAACATTATTCTTTCTTTTGTTGAGAGATAATGATAACAGTTGGATTTGATAGAATCTAATTTTATTTACTAGTTGGGTGAGACTTTTCAATCAGAGAAATAGAAAAGAGAGAGATAAAGAGAAATGTGTATACTTCTGTATTTGAAATAATGAGATGGTAGGACCTCAGTGAAAGCTGACCAAACCTGCATAGAAGCAAAAAATAAAAAAGCTCTCAGATTCTGCAACCACTTCCTCTTAAAACACACATTTGAGGACATAATTGACTGATTAACTTATTTCTCTAACCATTTTGTTGAATTTATTGATTACTCTTATTAAATGGATAGAAGTTTGAAACTTTCTTGTTATTTTGTTCAAATGTTGGATCTTTTTGTTGACAATGTTCATGTTTTGTCTAATCACAGTTGTTCTTCAGAGATGAAACAAGAAAGCAACAACAACAAGAGGCCATATGAAGCTAACAGTGGATTCAGCAATGGAAGATCAGACGATGGTCACATCTTGAGGCATTTCTTTGACGATTGGCCACGATCATCAGACTCTACCTCCAGTCCAATGAGCTCATCCACTTGTCATCTTTCAATCTCCATGCCCGGTAACCGTAACGCTTCCTCAGATGTTTCTCTAAAACTTTCAACAGGAAATGAAGAAGAAGAAGAGAACATGAGAAACAACAATGAGAGGGAGCAGTTGAATTGGTGGAGCAATGGAGGGAACCACCACAATATGGGAGGACCATTAGCTGAGGCTTTGAGGTCAGCTTCATCGACGTCAAGTGTTCTTCATCAGATGGGAATCTCAACTCAAGTCTTTCATTGAAGAAAAGTGTTTGTAATCTTTTTGGTTTGTGCTCTTTGAATCTTTATTTTCTGCAGAAAATTTTCTCTGAATTGTGTCCTTATTTCATTGGAGTTGTGCCAAAAATTTCCTGCTTTTGGAATTGTTTTGTTCTCTACTCTGCTAATATATTTATGTTTAGAGCTTGAGAATTTGTATAAGCAATGAAACTTTTGTTTCACAATCAAATTAAATATGATCCTCTTCTCTGCCTGCAAGTAACCTCCACAAAAGAGGTTGGTCACTTGAGTTTTTCACTAAAGCTAAACCGAATCAATTTTGGAAAACCAGTTAAACCACCTAGAATCAGCTGGTTTCCGGTTTAAAGTAAACACTCTGTTAGAGAGGAAGGGTTCTGGGAAAACCAAAAAACCTAATAATTTTCTTGCTCTTCTTCTCCACCGGCGTCGCATAGATAGACGGTAAAGCCTCGAACTTAACCGAAACAGACCGGAGTAAACCTTTCCGGTCCATCTCTAATTCACAACCGTGGGGTTTTGTGCTCGCTTCAGTCGCAAACACATTTACCAGAACCATTTCGTCGTTTCTCTTTACCAGATTCCGTTCTCCGGCGTCAGAAAGTTTTCACCTTTAAAGTACGTCAAGATTTAGCCTTTCTGATTAAGTTCTAAAACCCTTTTTAAATGTTTGTTTCCATTGTCTGATTTGAAGTGTTTTGGTACATCAATCCTCAAATTTATGCACTTTTTTTACCTGATATGTGAATTTTTAGTCTCAAGTGTTTTTGGAAGTTTGATTAATTTATTTGGATAGGAAATGAAGTATGTGAAGCCATTGAGCTTATTGGGTAATGCCTTGAAGACAAAAGTATCAGTCCCTGGTCGGTTTCTGGGTTTAGATGTTGGTGATAAGTATGTTGGATTAGCTATCTCAGATCCTTCAAATATGGTTGCTTCTCCATTGAGGTACATATGATTCAGTGTCTAGATACTACAACATTTGTTTTAATAGTAAGTTTCAAAATTGCATATCCTGTCTAATTGTATTAGTCAAAATTGATTCAAATCATTTGATCACCATTATAGCTATTGAAAAACCTATTACTTCTCTTGCAGTGTTCTGCTCAGGAAGAAAACAAACATTGACTTGATGGCTACAGATTTTCAGAACCTGGTAGGTGCTCAAATTTTTATTGTTCCTGTACTTTTTAGCTCTATTGTTTCTTAGTTGTTTTGACAATGAGGAAGAAAGTTTGGTAGTGTAGATTAGTGTCTACTAAGATTGTAATGTTTGATCGATACTTTCACCCTACGGCTTTTTGTGATTACTGGTGATTAAAGAGGATCAAGGTTTTATCTTTTAGGTGTTTGATGTCTTTGTAAAACTTACTGTTAAGTTGTATCCAACACAAGTCCTAGACGTTGTAGATATCTATCAACATCTAGACTTATGAATTCTGTTTGCTTATACCAATCATTTGTCGTTACTGATCTCATTGTTACATGCAGGTCAAAGCATTTTCTGTTTCGGGCTTAGTCGTTGGTTATCCATTTGGCAAACTGAACAATGTAGAGGATGTAAGCTTCTTTTATCCATTGAATTGTGAAATACTTTTCCTCTTCATTAGCACTTATAACTGAAAAGGAGTTTTCAACTTGGAACAGGTTGTCACTGTGAATCTTTTCATTGAGGAACTTCGTAAAACCGAAAAACTCAAGGATGTGAAATACACATATTGGGACGAGCGGTTATCATCAAAGGTATACTCAGATTTAAAGATCTTGTAAGTCATAGTAAAGATAAGTGTTAGCATATAACCGCATAATTTATAAGCCCTTGAATCTCATGTAATACTGTCGACAGACCGTTGAACTGATGCTGAAGCCCTTAAATTTGCATCCCGTTCAAGAGAAGACAATGCTGGACAAGTTAGCCGCAGTAGTTATACTTCAGGTAAGGTTACGAATACTCATATAAAGATCGATAGAATCTGTTCTTATATTTCCTCCTTGATCACTTTTATGTTTGATTGTTACTTGCAGGAGTATTTAGATTACGCGAACAGGTATCTAAACACTGAGCCAGCAGAGTAAAAGAAAGACGGGTAATGACAAAATAGGCTGGTGCAGCTAGTTTCAGATATATGAATATAATGATGGTTGATTTGTTGTGACACTATCTATGTGTACAAAGACATCTTGCATCAAACTGATTTTGTATTCGTTTAAGAAATTTGTTTTCCGCTGCATTCATATCTTTAAACCTTAGGCAAATCATCATTTATCGTACATCCTGTTACATTGTAGCTCGCGTTTGATAGAGAGGACCTGGATAGAATCTAATACCAAAAACCTCAAACAAATTTTCAGACTCTTTCAAGGTAAGATCCATGTGGATTGCTTCTCCTCATTGCAAGGTTCCAACAGTCTTGTTGATTTCCTCCAGTTTCTTTATCCTTAATCTTTCACTTTCAGCCAGTAACTGCCAAAGAAAATCATCAACACATTGGATCTGCTGTAGGAATCTACAAAGCTTAAAGTGGTTTAGACTAAATACCTCCATTAACATCGAAACAAGGTGAGCTTTCTCTTTGTTCTTTTCATTGAAAGCTTCCAATGTCTCTTTGTATTCCTTCTCCTGTCAAATTATTCCCTTGAGTTAAAACAAAGCTACAGAGTTTATAAAATGAAAATAGTTTGAAGGATGAAAATGCGAAATACCTTTTTCTGACAGCTTTGTGCCAAAGATTTGATATCTCGATTCGCCATGTCGATTTTCTTCCTCACCATTCCAACTTCTTTTCTCATAGGATCTCCCATAATCTCTAGCTCCTGTGTTAGTAAGAACATTATTAACTTTGTTGTCTACCATGTTAAACAAAAAAGGCTTTTTAACTTACTTCCAAGGTTTGAGTTAAGCATCTTGTAGCTTCCTCTGCAAAACCGAGCCTCTGTTGAACTTTTTCCTTAACAGTCATCTTCTTCCTCTCGATCTCTTCTTCTCGAGCTTGAAACCTCGACACTGCAACTTTCCATATCTCCTCTTCTTCATTCTCCTCCATTGGTAACTTACCGTTGATGTTGACTCCAGAAGCTGCAACAGCTCCTAAGTTGTTCTTGCTACTCATTTTTTTTCTTTTTCTTTTTATCTCTGTCTCTCTCAATATCTATTTATCTACTTTCACTATGTCTTTTGCTTTTGCTTAAACCTTCCCAAACATAATGCTTTGCTTTTACACCATCCCAAAATCAAAGCAAGCAATCCCGCCAAAAGGGAAAGTAAAAAATCAATTTCGTAATTAAAGTGGAGCCAATCTGATGATCAAAGATGTCCTTTTTGGGCTTTTCTTCTTTTAATGTTTGCAAGTTGAAATCTTTGTAACATAAATTATTCGGCATTTGGATTGCATATATATGGGAAAAAGAGTTGCCACACTTTTTTAAACCTCTTCATGTATATGATTCTTAAGAAATCACCACTATCAAGTTGTGTCATATTTCTTTGATTTACATTGGGTAAACACAGGCCCGGCCCAGTAGGGTGAGGGCAGAGGTGCAACTGCCTAAGGCTTATTAGCCTTTTAAAAATATTTTCTTGACAAAAAGGCCCAATTTTCTCAAAAAAAATAATAGATCTAGGCCAAAATATGTGCAAACCAGGCAAGACTTTTTTTCCTTTCATTTCTTCTCTTCTCTTCTTATTCACTAATGAAAAAGTACATTTTCTTTGCTATGAATAACAGAAGAGTATATTGTCAATTAATGTTTAATTTTTTTTTATATGTGTATAATCAATACTAATGGAACTATAAATAAATAAAACTAAGTTGGTTAACTTAAGAATATGAATTATCAAATATATATCCGGGATTTCTATCCTAGTCTTACCATTTTTTTTGGCAACAAAAGAAAAAAAAATCTAATTCCCACAATTTAACAAAAGAAAAAAAAAAAACTAATTCCCACAATTTATAAGTATTAATAAAAACAAAAAAACTCGTCGTTTTATATTGGTGTAAAAAACCCAACAACGCCGTGTCGTTTAGCCAACCGCAGCCATTGTCATGTTTTGCTTGAGTCCCCAATTGATACTGGAAAATCCATGGCAATGCTTTGTTCAGAAACTGCTTGGTTGTTAGCTAACCGTACGAGATGGGATTATCATGGCTTAATTAGTCAGATGTTGGTGCGTTGGGAAGAGGATCAACAAAGTTGGGACGAGGATCAATAAAAATCTCGAGAACACCAAACTCTGTTATCCAACTGATCTTGTCACTCAAAAAAGAAGGTGTAGGGGGAAATCTCTTGATGCTTCCCAGGGAGACACGACCACACTCTTCGTGCTTACACACTCAGCAAAGAATCTGAGTTCAGTTTCACCAAAAAACACATCTACATCATCACTACAAGCACCTGACACGTCCATTGCAAGGTAAAGACCTCCTCCCGCTTTTTTCTTTCATTAAGGTTGCTACCTTACGACTTTTCACCACAAATGGATGATCCTCCATGTCCCTTCCAGATTTACTTGTAAAAGAAGAGAGACTGAGAATTACTTATTCTGTTGGTCCTTCACCATGACTCTTGAGACGATCATCCGCAAAACCCATGCGTCATTTTTTGCCCCTACTCCTACATCATTACTCCAGTCATGCGTCAAAGTCTTGAAAGTCATCTGAAAAAAGCAATTGTAATCATTGATGAACCATAGTAAGTTTCTGATACAAGCGGTTGATTTTTGAGACTCTAAAGGGTTTATTGTAAAACATATATCATATTCTACAACAATTTGGAGGAGAATACTTTCAGAAGTATGTATTAGACAAATTTTCTTCATACTTCTATTTATTCTTATTAAAGTGTTTACTAATTTGATTTTCTCTTTTGAAGAGTTGGAGACTTGTATTAACAATATGATGTCGGCGAAGCCAAATACTTTTCAAATACATGCAATAGAAGTATGAAGAGAATATTCAAAATTCTATAAAAATTCGAAAAAAAAATAAAAATTCAGCTCAATAATTCAGCAAGGGTTTTGAGATGTCTAAAACTCCCACAGTGAATGCCAACCAAGCAGTTTATCTTTGAACAAATTTTACACATATACATGTGACTAAAATAAGCTCAATTTTTGAGATTTGAAATTTCTACACCCATAGCGGGCCCAAAGAATGTTGATGTCTAAATCCCAATAAATTTTTTTTTGCTTTTTCACAAATTAAAATATAAAATTGTTTAAAATTTTGGCAAAGCAAGTTTTGAACTCATGACCTTAGTCCATTTGATGAGACTCCAACCATTAGACTACAATACTTTTGAAATTATTAGTTGCCCCCCAAATAAAAATACATTCTGCTACCTAAATAACTTGGGCTTTAGGTTTGCTCCCTAACTAGAAAGAATCATCAAATTGCTTCGAGCCTCTGTGATTGTTGAAACCTCTTATATAAACACAAGTGTATAAGATGTTTCTTATCTTTTATAAACGTAAGTGTATAAACATAAATATATAACATTGCATTCATCCCAAAGGAGGCCGCACACACACACACACATTTACAAGAGAATAAAAGAAGCTCAATTTTGAGATTAAAAGATTCTACACCCTAACTAGAAAGAATCATCAAACTGATCATGTAATTGTTGAAATATCTTTATATAAATAGAAGTGCACAGTTGAAACTTGAAACCATCATATCGGAACACAAGAATAACAACAACAGAAAGACCAAAAACAAAGCTTACAACATGCATGAGATCTCACGAGTCTCTCTCTCTTTATTTTATTCTGGAACCGGAACCAGACTTGGAACGTAAACAAAGCTTATAACAAAATGGTTACGTTCATCTTCACCGCTAAAAGGTTGTCCTGTCTCAACTTGTTTTTTGATCTCACCCCGACCAATTTCGTACAAGCTGGTACAAGCATAACCCTCTCCTACAACTTTATCGCACCATAACATGATAGAATTGGTCTTGTGGATGAAGAAAGTCGGAACACGCATAAAATGAGGATTTAAGATAGGGAGATCAGGACGAGCCACATTAAAATACTTACTCAATGTGACAACCCCATCAGTCACCTTGTTCGTGACCCACACCTCAATCTCCCTTGTTTCGTCTCCAAAGAGTTGATGAAACAAAGAAAGCCTATCTCCTCTGAAAGCTGAAAAGGCTACTGAGTCATCAATCGTACTCCACTCCAAGGGAAACAAACATATGGGCTTGAATGGAAAAATCAAAACTTTGGATGAAGTTTGCCCCAATCCTATCACCCTTTGTTAGAGCAAGCCAATACATAATTCCATTCATAGAGACTTCTTGCTCGGGGGTATATACATACCAATCCATGGTAGCAGAAAAGGCTCTCCAGAGTTTAGACTTGAAGTCATCATATATCTCAAATTCATTATGTCTAACACTAATCCTCAAAATCTTGTAGCTGTCCTTGTCGTCGTATCCAAAACCATATATATTAAGTGCAGAGTGAGAACTGGTATCAACAAATTTGACTTGGCCCAAAACCGGATTCCAAACTGCAACATTGACGTTTCTTAATCCTGTGATCCATTTGCATAGCAATAATCCATCGCAGTGAATAACAGACAAGAGACGAGTACAAGGAACACAATTGAACTCAGCTGGAACTGGTAGAGATAAGATATCAAGGGTCAACATTATCAGAATAAATTCGCATAAATCGTTCCTGGGAGAGATTCAAGTGATTGTAGATGAATCTCTTGTCGTTGCAGAGAGCATAACATTGTTTGCTGGTCGGTTTGCATCGTATCACCGACTCGATTGGAGCCCTGGAGATGATTTCTTCTACTATTTCAAAAGGCAGCCAACAATCCGCCATGAAACCCTTTTTCTGGAAGGGATTGTTTGTCTGCGGCGGACTACCAAAACCGGCGACCTCGTGACTCGGCTCCATCGCCGACGTTATCTCGGTCATCTTCGCCGCCGTAGCGAAAAACTGCTTCAGAATCTCACGCTCACGCCTCTTTTCACTCGCAAATGGATTTCTCATCATTTTATACCCAACAAACCAAGCGAACCGGAAACGGTTCAGCATTCGGCTATGGGCCTATGGATCCGTCATATACTTAATTCAAAAATTGGACCTGGTTTGGGTTGGGCCGATTGGGAGAGTTATTATTGCTATCTCGTTTATTTTTTTTTCAAAGGCAGTCTTGTAGTATATAGCCAATAAATATCACATGCATAAAATAATATGTTGGAAGCGCATTTGTCTATAATAATATCAACATATGATGCTTTGGAGACATTGGTCTTATATATCTTCCATATGTTCCACTGATTCCATAAGAAACTGAAAAGCATGACTATTCATCACCCAATTGTCTTGATTTAAACGCATAAGACGAGGCAATGTAAGTTTTCCCAAAAGATAGAAAGATAGGTAAAATGAAACAGATAGTAGAGAGATGGGATTATCATGGCTTAATTAGTCAGCTGTTGGTGCGTTGGGAAGAGGATCAATACAAATCTCGAGAACACTAAACTCTGCTTTCCAATTGATATCGTCACTCTCAAAAGAAAGTGCAGAGGGCGCAATCCCTGGATGCTTCCCATGTAGACACGACCACACTCTTCGTGCTTACCCAAGTTTTTGATCTCAACAAGGAATCCGAGATCAGTTTCATCAAAAAAACACATCTAATCCGAGTTCAGAAGAATATTAAAGTCTTTGAGTGGTGTAGTTATGCCACGGTGACAAGACGTTCATTGCTTTCCCAACGGCTTCCCTGATGGCGACAAATCTTCATCTACAGACTACAGTGGTTTGCAGCGGTTGCCCTAGGGTGCATTCGTTACAATTGCCTAGGATGTAATATTGTTACTTTGTTTTGGTTGCCGTGGCTGCATGTATTATTTTCAATGTTTTTTTTGTTAGTTATAGTTCTAAACATTATATGTTTATTTTCAATGTTTTTTTTTTTGTCCCTAAACATTATAATCTAAAGAGAAAAATTCTAAAATCATGTTATGGTAAAAAAATAAACATGAGTTTAGACAATCTAAATCATGTATATATAGTAATATTTTGTATATTGTCAATTTTGTAATCTCGATTTAGATAAATAATATGTAGGACGAGACAACATTAATTTGTACAAAATTTGTTTTGGTAATGCAATATTAAGGAATTCAGATGCATTCACTTGTGAAAAATGACATTCATCAATTTGAACTAATGATTAGTGACCTCAATCATCATAAGTAAATAGATTACACATGTAAAAATGATTCATGTCCATAGATTAAAAAGAATATGTTTACTATCTATATATAATGCTAAACTATGAAGTTGGTATAATACATTTTGTGTAACACCAGAATATTAGAGACGTCAAATAAAACTAGAATCATATATAAATAAGTTATTCTAACTATATTTGTGTAAGTTTGCACCAAAAAAAAAGCTATATTTATGTAACTTAGTTATTAATTTATGATAATATTAGAACCATACATTTACATAGATGTTTTTAAAAAAATTATTTTATTATTTTATCCAACTGTGTTAGTTTTGTATTTTTTTTTTAATTTGTAATGTTAATTAATTTATCTAATATTAAATGATGATAGTGGTTTTACTGTTTACTCCTAAAAGTAGTCGTTCTAACTCATAAATTATGGGCTTCATAGTTGATAAACCCCTCATTTAAAACATAAGCCTTTCAAATGGGCCTGAAGAAATGAAACGCGTGCAATTGAATTGAATAAAGTGAGAAGGCTAAAATTTACATATTAGACATTTAGATTTAACTTGAGATATAATAACTTACAACAACGTTCTTACTCTGAATACTTTTACCAGAAAATTTATCTGTCTTTTGCTTAGAACAACTCGAATTCAAGATGATCGCCTATGGCTTTACATTCAAGATACCTATTATTACTGCCTCCTGGCAAATCCGCTGCCCCCTCCGGTCCACCACCATACTCATAGAAATCCGGTAGCTCAGGCGGTATTGCGCACCGGATCAGAGCCCAATTCAATCCTTCAAAGAAAGGATGTCTTTTGATCTCTACAGATCCTTTCTCTGACCCGAGCCTGTTCTCTGGTTCCTTAACCAAAAGCCCTCTGATCAAGTCTTTTGCCTGGAAGCTCACAAGCGGGCTATCGGGAAACTTGAGGTTCTGCAACACAACATTGGCCAAAGTCTCGTCATTGTTGTAACCTTTGAATGGTGTTTTCCCGTATAAAAGCTCGTAAAGGAGAACCCCGAAAGTCCACCAGTCAACCGCAGCACCATGTCCTTCTCCTTTGATGATCTCTGGAGCTAGGTACTCGTGTGTTCCCACAAAGGAATTGGATCTTGCTTCGGTTGGTTCAGCCACGAGCTGAGGCAATGATCTATTCAAGTGTTGTTGGGTTTTCGAAAGATGATCACCTCTTTTCGGTTTTCTACCTTGTTGTTGGTTTGAGGAGAGCCTAGGGCTGAAACACGAAACCTGGCAAGATGGTTCGATGATACAGAACGGTTGTATGCAGTTGGATGTGTTGTATGGACCTGAAATCCTTGCGGGATCTTTACCAGGCGGAGAGTTTGACCTGAGAAGAGTCGGGTTCACTGCACAACGGAGTGAGAGGTCGAAATCCGTAAGCATAATGTGTCCATCTTCGCGGACAAGAATGTTTTCCGGTTTCAGATCTCGGTATATGATACCAAGCATGTGTAAGTACTCCAATGCAAGGAGAATTTCGGCAACATAGAATCTACAGAAACAAATTTTTATCATCAATTTTAGTAAACTAAATGATCTAGGCGCGAAATGGAAAAGGTAAATCTTTACCTTGCTGCAGGTTCAGGGAAACACCGGCCTAGCTGCTTCTGCCTGAGGACATGAAGATCTCCTCCAGGACAATATTCCATGACTAGACAAGACAAATTATCCGAAGTAAATTGGGCGTATAATGTAGGAAGAAAAGGATGGTCCAACATTTTAAGTATTTCTCTTTCTGCTTGTGCCCGCGGAGACTTTTTCCTTCTCGCCAAGAACTCGTTGTCCATAACCTTTATGGCAAACAAACAGTTTGTACCAATCAGCTCAGCGAGATAGACTGTTCCTATATCTCCACAACCAAGCTTCTTCAAAAGGTTGAAGTGTCGTAAACCCAAAGAGCCGTATTGAACCTTGACATGCTTAATTGCTTCCCATCTCACATCCATCGACATGTGAGGCTTATTCCCACAGCTAAATCTACTCAGATTACTCTCCTCACTCATGCTTGTGCTCCTGCTATAATCCCCAAGACTATCTTTTGAACTCAAAGAGAACTCGAATTTCTCACTGGAAGTTGGATTCCCTGTTTCTTTTTCTACCATTGCACTGATTCCACTGTTATTGCTCGAGGAAACATCTTGTTTCATTATGACGATCTCAGCTTCAGAGCTTTGACTGACATTACAAGAACCAGAGGAGTTCTCGTCAGATAATTGACGAGCTTCTTTACCAACATTATTTGAAGCAGAGCTCAAACTGTCTGTGCATATCTCAGGATTATGACTAGTAGTATACGAGGGTGGGTGGTTATCAATGCTGGTGCTCTTCAACGAACAGTGACATCTCTGGCAGAGAAGTTGATGGGCACTAGAATCTAAGGAAGGAACATGTTCTTCATCGTCTTTTGTTGGGTAAGTTGCTGAAACAACCCCGATTTTTAATTTCTTCTTAAGCAAAATCTTCTTTTTCGGTTGTTTGGGACGTGGAATCATTCTTGTTACTTTGCGTACGGTTTTGCTCTTCTCTGTACCTGAACTAGGTGCATCATCCAACTTCCCTTTCTGCTCTGCGTCTAAAGCAGATGAGAGAATATTTTTGTCAAGCTCCGTCCCATTCACTTTCTTGCTAGAATGAGAAGGCAGTGAGGTAACATGTTTGTCTATTTCCATCACATCGTCTTCAACAAACGCATCAGTGGAAGGCAACGCAACATTTTCATCTAACTCTATCTCATAATCTCCACTGCCAGAACTAAGACAAGACCCAGATTTGTTGGATTTATGCAACAGCTTAATCTCCCGTGTTTGATTCCCAACTCCTTGTGATCCCAAACTGGTTCCAGCTTGAGATGGCTCAGAAATGGGGTTAGAATGCTCTTCAAACCGCTGAGACACGCTCTTAGAAGAGCTTGGTTTATTGTTTACGGGCAACAAAGGTATCTCAACCAAACTTCCTTTACCCTTGTCCACAGGAACAAGCCCAGACCTGCCGCTAGTAGATTCATTCGAAACTTGGTTATACAAACTCTTAATCCTGTCTGCTTCTGAGACCCTCGGAGATGCAGCAGCAGATTTCGACAACCGTTTCTGAGCGGCCATTTCTGACGCCTTGGAAATGCAACGATCCCTAAGAGCCTGCTTCAAAGAAACTGAATCAGAGAGACCAACAAATCTAGGCGATTGAGGTGTCCCCGGTTTTTTTATGGAAGCAATTCTCTTCGAAGGGCTTGTAGTCCTGCTTGGACCGGCACTCGCGCTAGTCTCATGATTATGGAAAGAAGAACTCATCAGCCTCGTTGATGGTTTAACAGAAATAGACTGAAAAAGCTTATCAATGTCATATTCAAGAGAACCATGATACTCTCGTTGCTTCCGCTCCAAATCTTTGCTTGATGATCCCATAACCGACTTACCATATCTCCCGGAATGTTTTGGCAATCTTACTTCATCATCCTTCTCTTCCACAATCTCACAAGCAAACGACCCCATCGCAACAGAGTTGATACAGTATCTAAAATCTCTGAAGATAATCAAAAGCGGCACCTAGTTATTCATCTTCTTCTGTGATCTGTTTCTACACAAGATCCTGCAACAATCACAGTTACCTGGATGAAAAAAGAATAATCAGAAAAACTGGTAAAAGAACAGTAACTTTAAATAAAGAACAATGTCTATGGAGTGATAAGAAATAAAATAAAAACTATGGGAAACTAATTGTTAAGAGCTAGGAGGTGAAGAAATTAAAAGAGAAGCAAC